CCAGTCTATGTTCTGCTTTTTATCACATGGGTCCTGAAATCTCTGGAGTATTAAGAAGGTCTTCTGTGTGCTACGGAAAGAATCTCTGGCCCCTAGAGAGTCTCAAGAGGGATGCTGGTCAACAAAATGATGAGCTCATGATTAGAGTAGAACTTTCAACCCATCCTCCAGCCTGAGGGCTGAATCACCAATGGTCAATAACATCAATCATGAAATGAAGATCTATGTAAGTCCAAAAGGACAGGGACCTGAGAACTGGATAGCCAAACACGAGGAGATGTCTGGGGTATGACTTGTCAGAGACATCTGTGGCATGTCCCACGTACTTTGCTAACACATCTCTCTCATCAGGTTGTTCACCTGAATCCTTTGCAAAATCCTTTATAATTTAGGAGTAAGTATAAGCAAAATGTTTCTCTAAGATCTATGAGCTACTCTAGCAAACGAATTAAAACCATAGAGGTGGTATTAGGACCTCAGTTTGATGCAGCAAGCTAGTCTGAAGTATACACAATCACCTACTAGTTGGAGCTGGCTTCTGAAGTTGGTGGCAGTCTTGTGGGACTGAGTCTGTAGCTTCTGGAATCTGACAGTCTCTTCATAGATGTTAAACATGAATTGAAAAAAGGGACATCCAGTGGTGAACACTAGAGAGGAGCCCGATGTGTGAGGAAACCACTACCATATAGCTGATGTCATAAACAGTAGATATATATATATATACTGTATATAACATAGGCCTATGAAAATAGGAAAACACTACTTTTTTGAATCTCTATTTATATATAATATGCCTCCACAGGTACATGACTATTATTATACAGTCTGGGATTAGGAAAAATTTTAAGTGGTTAGAACATATACAGTATATATAAAGGACAGCTTCTATTAATATCCATTGATATGCTTAATCAGTTAAGCAGTATTTAGCAAGTGTACCAGTCTTCAGTCATAATACAGTCATTTTGGGAATGCCTGATCTTGCCCAAAATCTTTCTTTGGATACTGCTTTTAGAACTAAGTTATAAGTCAGTCTCTCTCTCTCTCTCTCTCTCTCTCTCTCTCTCTCTCTCT